AACTTTAAAATTTATAATCCGCCAACTAAACCGCTCCATTCCGCTATAGTTAATACATATATATTTTTCAACTTCTAATGAAATATCAATGTAAAAATAAGTGACGACGACGTAAGAAGAAGAATAAAGATCGAAGAAGAGCAGCGTGTACCATAATGAGGGACGACGAGACACGAGTGACGAGGAACGACGACCGACGAGAAGCAAATATGAACGACGAATGACGAATCGACCCGGTCCTCTCTTTCTCACCCTTTCTCTTCTGTTTCTGTTGTAATCGAAGTAGATTCGGGCTGATATTGATATATTTTTACTTATTTACAAATTGACCCAAAATTTTTTTTCTAATTTCTGAAATTACCCCGAACGTGTCCCGAATGTTTCTGTAACGTGTCCTGAATGTGTCCGGATGTAAAAAAAAATAAGAATAAAAATGGGACACTCTCTGGTACGTGTCGGACACGTGCTCTCCGCGTGTCTGACGCCTGTCCGTGTCCGACACGTGTCTAACACTGGTACGGAGCCCTCAGAGAGGTGGTCGGGCTTCATAGTGTGCAGTGCAACCTCTGTATAGGATAGTATTTGAACGACGAGTAGAGCGAATGAATGAGAGATACTCAGCTGGAATGAAGGTTGGCTCAGGAATGCTTTCCGTTTTGGCTTGTTGTAATGTTGCTTGGTGGGTGGGGTATAAAAGGCTAAAAGCTTGGAAAGAACACGACTTGTTAGGTAATCCCGATGCCATTGCACCAATATCTGTATTTTGGCTCTCTCCACTGTTTGTACTGATGGGAATCATGGACGGATTAGCTCTTTATGGTATTGAGGATTTTTTTAAGTATCAGGTTCCAAAGTCAGTAAGGAAGAGGTATGCACTCGTACTCACAGAAGTTGTGATTGGATGGGGAAAAATAGTGAACATAGGTTTTATTATGATATTAGACGTGGTGGTCATGAAATTGAGAGCTGAAGATGAAAGTTGCATTGCAGACACCGTGAATCGGATCTTTTTTATGCTGTATTAGTGGTCGTGAGCATAGCCAATATGTTAATCTTTGCATATGTTGCTAGGTTCTACAGTTACCGTGATTTACCAAAAGAGGAAGATGACGACGAAGAAGAAGGTCCACATAAAAAAATTAAAAGTAGAAAGAAGCAAGACAAGATGGAACCCACACCTGATGAAGAAACTAAAAGAACAATAAGAACTAGGGCTGTGCAAAATGTCACTCAATTCAGTGAAACCGAATTGCTCCGTAGCAATTCACACCGTTCTAACCACTATCCGCGTAAACTTTAAAATTTATAATCCGCCAATTGAACCGCTCCATTCCGCTATAGTTAATACATATATCTTTTTTAACCTCTAATGAAATATCAACGTAAAAATAACTGACGACGAGACAAGAAGAAGAATGAAGATCGACCAAGAAGAAGAATGAAGATCGAAGAAGAGCAGCGTGTACCTTAATGAGGGACGACGAGACACGAGTGGCGAGGAACGACGACCGACGAGAAGCGCAGACGAACGACGAATGACGAATCGACCCGGTCCTCTCTTTCTCACCCTTTCTCTTCTGTTTCTGTTCTAATCGAAGTAGATTCGGGCCGATATTGATCTATTTTTACTTATTTACAAATTGACCCAAATTGTTTTTTGTAATTTCCAAAATTACCCCCGAACGTGTCCCGAAAGTTTCTGTAACGTGTCCTGAACGTGTCCGGATGTAAAAAAAAATAAGAAATAAAAATGGGACACTCTCTGGTGCGTGTCGGACACGTGCTCTCCGCGTGCCTGACGCGTGTCCGTCTCCGACACGTGTCAAACACTGGTAGGGAGCCCTCGGAGAGGTGGTCGTGCTTCATAGTGTGCAGTGCAACCTCTGTATAGGATAGTATTTGAATGACGAATAGAGCGAATGAATGGGAGATACTCAGCTGGAATGAAGGTTGGCTCAGGAATGCTTTCCGTTTTGGCTTGTTGTAATGTTGCTTGGTGGGTGGAGTATAAAAGGCTAAAAGCTTGGAAAGAACACGACTTGTTAGGTAATCCCGATGCCATTGCACCAATATCTGTATTGTGGCTCTCTCCACAGTTTGTACTGATGGGAATCATGGACGGATTAGCTCTTTATGGTATTGAGGATTTTTTTAAGTATCAGGTTCCAGAGTCAATAAGGAAGAGGTATGCACTCGTACTCACAGAAGCTGTGATTGGATAGGGAAAAATAGTGAACATAGGTTTTATTATGATATTAGATGTGGTGGTCATGAAGTTGAGAGCTGAAGATGGAAGTTACATTGCAGACACAGCGAATCAGAGCCGTTTGGATCTTTTTTATGCTGTATTAGTGGTCGTGAGCATAGCCATTCTGTTAATCTTTGCATATGTTGCTAGGTTCTACAGTTACCGTGATTTTCCAGAAGAGGAAGATGACGACGAAGAAGAAGGTCCACATAAAAAAATTAAAACTGGAAAGAAGCTAGACAAGATGGAACCCACACTTGATGAAGAAACTGGAAGAACAATAAGAACTAGGACTGTGCAAAAAGTCACTCAATTCAGTGAAATCGAATTGATCCGTAGCAATTCACACCGTTCTAACCACTATCCGCGTAAACTTTAAAATTTATAATCCGCCAACTGAAGCGCTCCATTCCGCTACAGTTAATACATATACATTTTTTAACCTCTAATGAAATATCAATGTAAAAATAAGTGACGACGAGACAAGAAGAAGAATAAAGATCGAACAATAAGAAGAATGAAGATCGAAGAAGAGCAGCGTGTACCTTAATGAGGGACGACGAGACACGAGTGACGAGGAACGACGGCCGACGAGAAGTGAAGACGAACGACGAATGACGAATGACGAATCGACCTGGTCCTCTCTTTCTCACCCTTTCTCTTCTGTTTCTGTTCTAATCGAAGTAGATTCGGGCTGATATTAATCTATTTTTACTTATTTACAAATTGACCCGAATTTTTTTTTGTAATTTCTGAAATTAACCCCGAACGTGTCCCGAAAGTTTCTGTAACGTGTCCTGAACGTGTCCGGATGTAAAAAAAAACAAGAATAAAAATGGGACACTCTCTGGTGCGTGTCGGACACGTGCTCTCCGCGTGTCTGACGCGTGTCCGTGTCCGTGTCCGACACGTGTCTAACACTGGTACGAAGCCCTCAGAGAGGTGGTCGTGCTTCATAGTGTGCAGTGCAACCTCTGTGTAGGATAGTATTTGAACGACGAATAGAGCGAATGAATGGGAGATACTCAGCTGGAATGAAGGTTAGTTTAGGAATGCTTTCCGCTTTGGCTTGTTGTAATGTTGCTTGGTGGGTGGAGTATAAAAGGCTAAAAGCTTTGAAAGAACACGACTTGTTAGGTAATCCCAATGCCATTGCACCAATATTTGTATTTTGGCTCTCTCTACAGTTTGTAGTGATGGGAACATGGACGGATTAGCTCTTTATTGTATTGAGGATTTTTTTAAGTATCAGGTTCCAGAGTCAATAAGGAAGAGGTATGCACTCGTACTCACTGAAGCTATGATTGGATGGGGAAAAATAGTGAACATAGGGTTTATTATGATATTAGACGTGGTGGTCATGAAGTTGAGAGGTGAACATGGAAGTTGCATTGCAGACATTGTGAATCAGAGCCATTTGGATCTTTTTTATGTTGCATTAATGGTCGTGAGCATAGCCAATCTATTAATCTTTGCATATGTTGCTAGGTTCTACAGTTACAGTGATTTTCCAGAAGTGGAAGATGACGACGAAGAAGAAGGTCCACATAAAGAAATTAAAACTGGAAAGAAGCAAGACAAGATGGAACCCACACCTGATGAAGAAACTGATAGAACAATAAGAACTAGGGCTGTGCAAAATGTCACTCAATTCAGTGAAATCGAATTGATCCGTAGCAATTCACACCGTTCTAACCACTATCCGCGTAAACTTTAAAATTTATAATCCGCCAACTGAACTGCTCCATTCCGCTATAGTTAATATATATATATTTTTTAACCTCTAATGAAATATCAATGTAAAAATAAGTGACGACGAGACAAGAAGAAGAATGAAGATCGAGCAAGAAGAAGAATGAAGATCGAAGAAGGGCAGCGTGTACCTTAATGAGGGACGACGAGACACGAGTGACGAGTGACGAGTGACGAGGAACGACGAGAAGTGAAGACGAACGACGAATCGACCCGGTCCTCTCTTTCTCACCCTTCACTACTACAAAAACAGATAAAGATCACACTTTTTTTGTGTGATGTTTGTTATTTAATCACACCTTTTTAGTTTTATTAAAGTGTGATCTTTGGGAGTGTGATTAAAAGAGATCATTTTTAATCACACCTTTTAAGTGTGATTAAAAATATTTAGATCACACCTTTTAAGTGTGATTAAAAACGTTTAGATCACACCTTTTAAGAGTGATTAAAAACATTTAGATCACACATTTTAAGTGTGATTGATAACATTTAGATCACACCTTTTAAGTGTGATTAAAAATATTTAGATCACACCTTTTAAGTGTGATTGATAATATTTAGATCACACCTTTTAAGTGTGATTAATTACATTTAGATCACACCTTTTAAATGTGATTAATTACATTTAGATCACACATTTTAAGTGTTATTAATAACATTGAGATCACACCTTTTAAGTGTGATTAAAAATATTTAGATCACATCTTTTAAGTGTGATTAATTACTAATAAAACCTGTGATAATAAACATTTAGATCACAGATTTTAAGTGTGATTAATATCTAATAAAACACGTGATTAATAATCAGATAAGATCACATGTTATATGCATTTGAAGAATGTAATAACATCATATATTTCATAAATAAAAGTTAAATGTTCAAAAAATATATACAAAGGAATTAGAAAAAAGTTTTTAACTGTGCTTACATATATTTAAAAAAAAAAAAAACATGAAAAAACTAAGTTGTTGAATTCTTTGACCATATTTTGCATTTCTCCAAGAAATTTCTGACCTGAAAAATAAAAACACAAATTAATTCAGAAACCGCTAGAAGCATATGAATAAACTTAATATTTTTGTAGAGACTTACAAAAGACGAAATCGAACATTTTCTCATCACACTGACTCTTCATCTCCTGCATCAATGGCAAAGGAATAACAACTTTGATTGTTACTAATATAAAATGTTTGGATTACATGACATATACATAGAATCAATAAATCCAAAATGAAAATCTTCAATGTATGGGCAGATATTTTAAAGTCATAAAACCAAATATACATAGAATCAACAAATCTAAAATGAAATCTTGAAGTGATTATATATTCTTTACCAACTAAAGAAATTGTTGATTAGTAATTTAAACAACGGAAGTTATATCATACTTACATTGGATTTCAACTCATATTCTTTAGTACGAAATTAATCCATTCAACTCGCACTTCATCAAGTTCGGTTTCCGTGTAAGTCTTTTTTCCATTGAACTGCAATAGGTTATTTACAAACAATTAGATAATGAAGAAGATGTACAAGTATCATGAATATAATAATAATAAAAGTTTAGAATTTATCTCACATTTTGTTTTCTTAGGATGCTTTGATCTCTAATGAGGTCTTTCATATACTGCATTACATAAAACCCACATTCCACGTTTGTAGGTTATTGCGGGGACTGCATAAAAACATTTTCATTATTATTAGAAACTATATATAAAGTGTTATGATCAAGATGAACAATCATTAGCATAATATAAGTATGATAAAATTAGAGAAAATGATATTGATTACCTGAACTACTTTCCAAACTTGATTGGTCCTCCTCCTCCTTTGGGTAGTTTCATAAATTTTCAAAATGACAGGTAGCAAATAAATTAGTTTAATTGATTCCACATCTATTCAAAAAATCTAAGGCACATCTATGAAGCATGGACACTTCAACTTAGTTGTTGTTTCTGTATCCAACACATGTCGAACATTGACTCAACTCTGACACACCGGAATGAATACCAAACACACCACGTGGCATGCCTCATTTTTTAATTATCTTTTTTCCTCCTTGACATGTCGGGGATAGATAATGAACATGTGTGTCCTGCCTTTTGACACACTCCAAGATATTATCTTCTATATGATGTAAAAAGTGTCATTATAAATTTATAATCACGACTATGTAAACATCTTGTCTATGCTAATCATCACTTTGTAGTATTCTCCGTAAACAATACCAGTGGCATTTTTCCCCTTATCTAAATCAATGTTTGATTGTTGAAATTGTTATTTTTATAACTTGTAATGATTATAGGAAAGTTTTCCACGTGTGCTAGAAGCAAACCCACAATTTCTAATGTTGATAAAGGCAAACAACTATGATGTAATAGTTTGTAGTTAATACAAAATATTTTCCAATACCCTTTAAATTCATTAAAGTTTATAATTTGAGTTTTTTTTTCATGTTGAATTTTTGTTAACGTTTCATTTTTTTGGTTATTTGTGGGTGCAATATTCATAAAAACAGCAAAAATTATATATATAAAATTGTCATATCCCTGTCGTGTTTGTATCTTAATTTTTAGGAAATCATCATGTCCCGGTGTCTGATAATCTCTTAGGTGACTTCTAGGATAATACCAAGTATAATAAGAAAATACATTGACCAAAGCATGTGAAGCACTTTTAATGAAATAGTCATAAACTCAATATACCAAAAGAATGCATACAAACTTGAAAGCAAGAATTCAAAATTACGTAATAAGTATAGATCTAAATTTATATCAAATTCTAATCCAAAATGCTGCCTGCGATTTGACATTCCTCTTGTCTATGCTGCTATAAAATGAAAAATATGACATTCCTCTTATTTTGCTATCAATATCTTCCAAATCAAATAATACTAATTATTGATAGCCTATACATCAATTTTATCAAATATTGGGTTTGTAACCATAGAATTATAAATTAGAATAATGGACATACATAGTGATTGAAGACAACAAAAGGTCTTCCAAGGGCAGGAACCATCAGCTTTTGGGCAGCTTAAACTAAGTATTTGCTTGGTCTCTACAATTATAACCAAAAATTCATCCACATTCAGAAACGTCGTCCTATCTCTTTGTAAAGGGCCTACCACCAACTACTTCCCATCTGAGGACCCAAACTGCATCAACCGGCTCTCTTAAATGTTCACTAATAACTTAACCATGTTTGTCAACAAGAGAGAAAGGGACACCCTCAAGAAACCTCCAAGTTTCAACCATCATAAGCTAACAATGTTTAAGAATGAAACCAAGTCAAATAAGCCATTGTTTATTTCAAAAATGTTTCCATTTGAAAAAAACCTGAATTTGAGGGTTGTTCATAAAAAAAACTAATGGAATAAAGCACAAAATCAAAGATGAATTGGTGAAAAATAAAAATCCATTAGGGTTAAAAAAAAAAAGAAAAAAAAGGGCATTCATCTCATGAATATGGAAATAACTTGGTAATTCAACAATCACCAATCGAGATACTTGAGTCAAAATTGGTGGTGTGGAATACAGGCACCAAGGAGGCTCTTCCATTCACTTTTGGAATAAAAAGTAAAACTCATGAGTCATCATATTACTCTTTTACCTGGCACTGATGCTAACCTATCACCAGCAGCTTAATTTACATTCTAAGCATATTTTCAAAACCACTAATCATGATTTCTATTATGGTTCTGTAATTTTGTGATGTGAAATCATGCTTATGGTTCTGTGGACACTTTGTTTTTGTTTTCTGAATTTTTGGAAATAGAACAGGAAACATGTGTGCAGTAGGATTCTTCTTTACAGAGTTGCTACCATATTCAAATAACAAAATGATTTATTTTTTATTATTTATTTATTTTCCAGAATAGATTGCTTCCAATGCAATCAAAAGCATGGAAAACCTTTTCGTGATGAGGATAAATACACAGACAAAGACAGAGAAGAAAACTCTGCAAAATACACAGACAGAGAAGAAAACTCTGCAAAATTTGTGATTCTACTATACCAACAGAAATACACACAAAAGGGGCATAAAAATCAGAGGACTCACCAGGAATTTCAAGAAATTTTTTATTTGAAAAGACAAACTTCAATAGTAGTTTGAGTGAGTAACTTCAATGGTGGTTCGGAGCTATGATGAAAAAATGAACGGCTTCGTTTCAGCAAGGAGACGAGATTCAATCTTGTTGGGAAAGGCAATGGTTGTTCGGAGCTGATCAGAGATGAAGAAAATGATGGTACAGAATAGGCAAATGGTTGTTCACGAGATGAAGAAAATGAACGGTTTTGTTTCGGCAAGGAGAAGAGACTCTGATGTTGGGAAAGTCAAGAGTCATTTGCTTTTGCTCTCAATGATGGTACAGATTAGGCGCCAACTTTGTAATCAGATTTTATATAAAAATGAAATAGAAATATTTTATTCAATCACACCTATGATTAAAATACATATATAATCACACTTATTTAAAAAGTGTGATTAAAATAAAATGAAATCGATACGATCGCACCTATTTAGAGAGTGTGATTAAAATACATATATAATCACACTAATTTAAAAAGTGTGATTAAAATATATATATAATCACACTTATTTGAAAAGTATGATTAAAAATAAATATTATATATAATGACATTTAATTAAAAAGTGATATAAAAATAAATATAATCACATGTTAATTAAAAGGTGTGATTAAAGAAATATATATATAATCATACTTAATTGAAAAGTGACATAAAAAACAAATATTATCACACTCAATCAAATCAAGTGTGATTAAAATATCAATCTAATTTTTTTTAGGGTGAATTACACTAATAGTCCCTATAGTTTGGTTTCTAACTTTTCAATTATGACACATTTGACCCTGAATTTTGAATTTTGTTCCAAATAAAGACAATTGAAAATATCATTAGATTTTTCAAGGGTAAAAACATCAATTTGATAAAATATAAACTAATTTGAGAAAAATAAATGTCAAACAAATATTTTTTAATTTTTAAAAATTATTTCTACCAACTAAAAATAAAATTATGTAAAATTGATAAATCTTTGAAACATTTATTTTTTTTTACCAAATTAATTTTTTTATTCGTTTGGATAATGATCATGTAAAATTAATTTTTAAAAATTAATCATGTAATTTTTATTAATTTGTATCAATTTTACATAATTTTATCGTTGGTGGAAAAAAAAATTAAAAATATTTTTTTGACATTTATTTTTGTCAAATTAGTTTATATTTTATTAAATTGATGATTTTGCCATTGAAATTAAAAAATGGTATCTTCAATTGTCCTTATTTGGAACAAGATTCAAAATTCAGGGTTAAATGTGTCTAAATTGAAAAGTCAAGGACTAAAGTGACACGAGTCCCAAACTATAGGGACTGTTAGTGTAATTTGCCCTTTTTTTTTTAATCACACTTCCATTAAAAGTGAGATATTTTTATTTATCACAGCTTGCATTTACTTTATGTCGTTAATGTGAATTCGTGAAAACCCAGTTTTGTTGTAGTAAGGAGAAGCGACCTGTGTGTTTGTGAAATTCAACCTTGTTGGCGATGGAAAGTGTCGTCCTCTGTCATTCATGGGTGTAGAATAAAGGCGCAAATTTGGGAATTGTATATTTTATATAAAAAACAAATTGGAATATTTTATACAATCACACCTATTTAGGTAGTGTGATTAAAAAGTGGTAATGTATATATAATCACACTTTAATTAGAATGTGTGATTAAAAAATATATAAATAATCACACTTTAATTGGAATGTGTGGTTAAAAAATATATATAATCACACTCATTTAAAAAGTGTGATTAAAAAGTAGTAATGTATATATAATCACACTTTAATTACAATGTGTGATTAAAAAATATATTGATAATCACACTTATTTAAAAAGTGTGATTAAAAAGTAGTAGTGTATATATAATCACACTTTCTAATTAAAATGTGATTAAAAAAAATATAAACAATCACACTTTAATTACAAAGTGTGATTAAAAAATATATTTATAATCACACTTATTTAAAAAGGGGGATTAAAAAGTAGTAGTGTATATATAATCACACTTTAATTACAAAGTGTGATTAAAAATATATAAACAATCACACTTTAATTAGAATGTGTGATTAAAAATATATTTATAATCACACTTATTTAAAAAGTGTGATTAAAAAGTAGTAGTGTATATATAATCACACTTTAATTAAAAGGTGTGATTAAAAAAATATATATATATAATCACACTTAATTGAAAAGTGACATAAAAAATAAATATTATCACACTTAATCAAATTAAGTGTTATAAAAATATCAATCTAATTTTTTTATCACACTTCCAATAAAAGTGAGATATTTTTTTTTCTCAAAGTGTGACCTTTAACTATTTTTGTAGTAGTGCTTTCTCTTCTGTTTCTGTTCTAATCGAAGTAGATTCGGGTTAATATTGATATATTTTTACTTATTTACAAATTGACCCGAAATGTTTTTATAATTTCTGAAATTACCCCCGAACGTGTCCCGAAAGTTTCTATAACGTGTCCTGAACGTGTCCGGATGTAAAAAAAATAAGAATAAAAATGGGACACTCTCTGGTGCGTGTCGGACACGTGCTCTCCGCGTGTCTGACG